GGGGGGGTGGCGCTTAGGGGAGCTATGGAATAGGGCGGACACAGGATGCCCAGGTCACGCTGGACGCACAATGTCCATGGTAGTATTCGACCACGACATATACACGGCAAACGGGCTGATGCACTCACTGACTGAACTTTCTGCCTTCTGGCTCTAGTAGCGGGTCTCAGAGGCCATCTTCAGAATGGCTTTTAAAACACCCCGTCGATGGTCCCTTTTCCTATGAGTCCGCACTCGGTCCACTGCCTTTTCCCACTAACAGCCCCCCCCCCCCGGTCCACTGTCACTCAAACCGCCGAAATCGAACAGCGCGCGATATCCTCCCTCTGTCGCGGACCACACCCCGCCACCCAACCGATCTCGGCACATTTCTCTATGCCGCGATGGTCTAATTTTACCAGAGGCGCAAGGTTGCCGCCGGCCCGGCAGCCGGCAGCCCGCCGGCCGGCCCCGGGGTTTTGGTGTGGCCCCGGCCCTCGGCGGCAGGGCAGGGCAGGGCAGCTCGGTCCGGCCCGTCCATTTATTAGCGCGCGTGAAAAGGTCGGGGTCGAGCTTCACGGGCTGCATTAGGGCGGCGCGGAACCTGCTCAGGCATGGCCAAGGGCGTGCCTTGAGCAGGCCTTTTGTCTGTGTCGGGCACTTTTAAGAGTACACGCGCCAAAGTTCCAAAGTGTATGCGAGGTGGCTGATGAAGATCCCCGCAATCTCTCTCTCGTCGGGCTTGCCGTCATTCGCCGTTGCGAACCTGACAAGTTCGCCTAGGGAAGCTGCCATAGCGCCTGGTAGGTAGGCAACATCTCGCGACTGCAGTGCGTGGATGCACTGCTGGGTGGCCTACCCTGAGTCTCGCAGGCGTCGAGCTCCCGTAATTACGTACCCGAATAGTTCTGAAAAAAAAGCGCACGTACTTTCTCGACGACCCCTAGCACTTTAATTTCGAAAGAGGCCTGGAGTTTCTCAGCCCCCGGCCGGGCGCTACATCCCTGCTCGCCCCTGTTCGCCTGCACCGGTGTGGACTGGACTAGTTATGCACGAGCTGTCAGCCTGCTTCTATCCAGCGTGACTCACATCGACCAGCTACCGTCCGGGCAGTCGGGGAGAGAGGCGAGCGGCTCCCCCCCCCGCAGCTCTCTCTCTCTCTCTCTCTCTCTCTCTCTCTCTCTCTCTCTCTCTCTCTCTCTCTCTCGCTCTCTCTCTCGCTCTCTCTCGCTCTCGCTCTCTCTCTCGCTCTCTCTCGCTCTCTCTCGCTCCCTCTCTCTCGCTCTCTCTCTCGCTCGCTCTCTCGCTCTCTCGCTCTGCCTCTGTCTACTCTCTCGCACGCGCCCTCGCTCTTCCCGTCCCCCTGCTTGGCAGGCCCGACACAAAGCAGGGCGTCTGCTGAAAGACACGCCGTCGCGGCGCCCGCCGTCGCCAACCCTTCTTTTGTGAGCACCGCTGCGCCCGCCCTGGACAGGAAGCTCCGTCCGTCACGTGACCTTGCATTATGGATCAGGGCTGCAACGGGGGAGGTCCTGCCGGTGTCCGCGGGTGCCGCGGGTGCCGCGGGTGCCGCCGGGACGCTGGCCGCCGCCCCTCCGCCTCGCCGCCCCGCCCTCCCCTATCGGGCTGTTGGCCAGTCGGCTGGTACCCTCAACTTCCAACCCCAACCCCTCCTCAACCCACAACCCCTTTAGGTACCGGCGCGGTGGCGCTCACCTTGTTTTATTTTCCTGTGCTCGCTTCCCCTCTCCGCTCCGCCGCGCGGCAGGCAGAGCAATCTCCGGAGCCGATCGTGGCGTGGGTCGGGGCGGGGGCGGGGGCGGGGGCGGTAATATAAAGTTGCGCTGCAGGGTGGGGCGTTCCGAGGCGGGGTGGGGCGTGCCAAGGCGAGGGAAGGCGTGGCGCGGCAAGGTCAGAAGAGTGGTGAGGGTCCAAAGTGGAGACGAGGCCAGCCCATGCCGGTCCGGGGGAGCCAGCCAGGCGCCAGGCCCGGCGGCCCAGCCCAGAGGCCAGCCCGGCTGGAGGGCCGGAGGGGTCGCCTCGCCTCCTAGCGGGCCCCCGCCCTATGCTAGCGCCGACTAGCGCCCGCCGCCGCGCGCCCCGCCTGCACCCCGCCCTTGCGCGATGTCTCTGCATGGAACACGCCTCGGCCTAGGCCTAGCCGTGCCAGTAAGGGGGTTCGATCCTCAATACAGCAGGGCGGGGCGGGGCGTAGCCTAGCGTCTGTCTTGCTGTTGTGCGCCGTGCGGGCCGGCGGGGCCTCGGGTGCGAGGGCTAGCACAGCAGTAGCGCTGCGCCCGTGCCCCTCCCCCCTGGCGCCGCCCCTGCTGCGTCGTCCTCTACCGCATATTCACCCCTCCCACCCACACCCTGCGGTGGCCTGGCAGCACGCGGCTGCACGCGGGAGCCCGGCGGAGCCCGGGTCTAGACTCAAGGCTGCGGTCGCGGCCCCGCACCCTCCCCTCTGCGGTAGCCTGGCAGCATGCGTCTGGTGGCCAGGCCAGGCTGGGCCTCTGCTCGACGAGGCCTCGACAGTCTAGGACCCCATTACCCTGCTTCTCGCGTCCGCCCGGGGCGCTGGAGGGGTGGGAGTGGCAGACGAACAGACTACCCGGCGCGGCGCCCACCTGCGGCCTCGGCCCCTGCGGCCGGCGCGACTTGGTGGCGGGCATTAAGGGCATCATCCTTTACTTCCGTGGAGGGCCGAGGGACTCCCCTTTGCTACCCTCGCTTGGCCCGAGGCGGCAGGGCGGCAGCCACACGGGGCTGCACGGGGGTCGCTGCTCCTTCCCTTAATCATTCATGGCGCGCCACGTGTGGGGGTGGAGCAGGTCGCGGCGCCGGGGCGGGGCGGCCGGGCAGCTGGCCGCCGGCGGGTGGCAGGGCAGGCCGCCGAGACCACGCTCGACGTCGATGCCCGGCGGCGCTGCTAAGGGCACCGGGCGCCCCTCACGCACCGGCCATCGGACCCTGCGCCCGCACAACAGAAGTATGAAACATTTATGGAGGTATTTCTGTGTGTCGCAAAATGGGTGGGGTTCGTAGATATAGGGGGTGTGAGGTATTGCGTGTGCGTATTCTTAGCCAGGGTGCGGCTGCTTTTTCTATTGCAAGTGCTGAAAGGGGCGGAAAATCGCAAACCAGTCCTTGGGCACGTGGGCGGGTCTCGTGTCGGAGGTGTCCCGAAGACTTTCTAGAAACGCGCCCTGTGGCTCGGCTGGCGTGGCGGTGTGGGGCGGAGCGGCGGGCGGGGCGGCGTGCAGCCTGCAGTGAATGGGGTAGGCACGCCCGCGCCACACACGCGTGTCACGGAGGTCTACCCTCCAGGCGCCTCAGGCCCTGGCCACGGTTGTTAAGTTATAATCTAACTGTGACGTGTGTCTTGCTGTCCTCAGGCTGTACGACCAGTACTCGTTCCAGATTATACCCCTTATGGGCCAGCTGGTGGCTGGCCAATGGAGACCTTACCAGTATCTAGTTGAGAGTATACGTCAATTTCCTGCGCAGGTGATATAATGGATCCAATTTGCAGACAAGGTTTCGTTGCTCTACATTTTGAACTGATTCTCTGTTTTGTATTCTAGGAAGAGTTTAAGGAAATGATTGAAGCTGCTGGTTTCCGATGCGTTTCGTATGAGAACCTCAACTTTGGAGTTGTAGCAATTCACTCAGGATTTAAATTGTAGTTGTTAAGTGATAATTTATATCAAGACTGGGCTCTTAATAAATATTGGTTCATCATTTTCATGTGTTATCATGTTGTGTCCCCATGTTGCTTAAAACATTACAAATGTGTTGCCAATTTCAATGCATCGATCATGATAAAGAAAGTTCTGGAGTAATTGATGAAGAATTGTACTTTTTAATTTGCAAATTTTTTTCTAGTTATACATGTCAAACATTTAGAAGTAGATTGGGTGATAAAGACAGTTAAGATTTTAGATATTGAAAAACAACATGAATGAGTAAATTCTTCACAGTAATTAGGAATGAAAGATTAATTTTCTGTCATGGTCTGTTCTTAAAATCAAAAAAATTACACATATAAGTAACTGTGGGAAAGAAGGGAATATCATAGGTCATCCATTTGCTTAGATTATTATCGCAGAAACAAAGGGATGGAACTAGTTCAAAGGAGTCAATACATTAAGTGATGTCATAAGTGGAATGCTAGCAGCTGGAAAACCTCTCCATCAAAGACAGATGGCTGTCCCAAAGAATCTTAGCTGCTTCTCTAACTAGGGATTAAGAATTTCAACAAGGTAACTTCCTCACTAAATTTCTGAAGGTTCAATCACCTCTAATTCCACTGCTGATGGACTTGGTCAGAGAGTTCTTTCAAATATGTTAAGCATTTCAATTTCAAACAAAAATCATAGGATAACTCAAGGTATCTCAGACTTCAAGGTAGCTTAGAATCCAAAAAAAAACAAAAAAAAAAAACAGTTTTCTATACATGACCAATTTGAATTCTAAGATTTAGTTCCACACTTGCTAAATTTACACCACCAGAACTAAATGAAATGAGAACACCTTCTGGCTGATTGCTGATGTTATGCTGATTAAGTACATATTGCAGATTGCCTTGCTTGCAAGGGGACTCAATACACGTTTGGTCACTAAGATTGATCTTCATTTACGGCTCATTAACAAAATACTCCTCCAAGGAAAACAATCAGACTAGATTCCCTAAATAGGTAGGATTTAGCATACTTTTAGGTAATAAATTATGCTAAGAGTCAAGGAACTATCAGGCATATGGAATTGCCGATTTAAGGGGGGGCACTGGTGGGGAGAGGGGCATAAATGCATGAATATATTATCCAGTCACCATAGAGCTCAGCTAAGACTCTTTCTTTTCGATTGGAAAAGACCTTCAGTTTGAAGATGGGCACTGTATTAATGAGGCTTCTTCAAGTGAAAAAGTAAGATTAAATTTTAATTCAAATTTGAAGACAATTTTTTTATATCTTGCCCAAAACAATAAGAATGTCAAGTGCACCTAAACCTTGTTTAGCATCACAAGAATGTACATGAAGATCACACGTAACATAGAACAAACAAGGCTTCTTTAAGAAGGATTTGACAATGAAATCAATACTTCGAAAGTTTAAATAATACTTTTTATCCTTTTTCACATTTATACAAAAACATAACAACGTCCATTTCAAATGAAAAATAGCACATGTTTAATTTAAAAGGCAAAGGAAAATGCTGTACAGAAATAGGACACCAAACTTAATTTAAGTACCATGGGAAAGCTGTTGACATTGAAATCAATGAATGTAAATAAATAACCCACTCCTCATTTGTACCAATAAAGTATGTCATTGACCAATTTATAATTTTACAGTTTAAACCTTGCCTGGCATCCTAAATGTACTGTTTCTTCCCTACCATAAACCACCAATACACTCCAAATACTGAGAGCATTTGTCACAACAATTTGTACATGCTAGTAACACATCATACAACAAAATAGAACTTACAAAACAAAGCTTGTTCTGCGTAAAAAAAAAGGGGGAGGGAAAGAAAAATAGAAATTGGCAGATGTCCCATCATCTAAGAGATCGGGCTGCATCTTAAACAGTTAGAAACAAACAACAAAATTGCTGTTTAACTAAAACAAAGAACTTAAAACTAATTTTGAGATTTGTAAGCTGTAACCCAATAATTTTGTACCAACAGTTAACATTTAATAAAATTAAATCCACCTCAAATTTTAAGGAAGTTAGAACATCAGTAAAATGTGAGGCCTAAAATTTTAGTTAATACAAACCTAGAGGGAAACAGTCATGTATGGCATGGTAAAGATAGAAGCATATCTTAAAGATGAAGAAAATTTTCTTCCTTCACTGGGAACTAAACTGGGAACTAATGAGAATCAAGTTATTGGTTTCAAAACATGAGGCAAGAAATTTGCTTTGTGAAACAGGAAACTAATGATGCTAGCTGTAAATTCATCCAAGTGTGCCTCCACTAGTAATTTTTAGCTACCAAATTAACAGAATTTATAGTTAAGAATGAGCACAAAAGTTGGAATTTGCATATTTCACATCAGGAAATTAAAAGGGATAAGGGTAAAGATAAGTTTAACCGCTCTTAAAAAGAAGGATGGCAACCTGACCAAGGTAAAAGTAGATGAAGTGCCTTGTCTCATGGGTAACATAGCTTCCAAAGTTGCGTCCAACAATACAATGCCAGGTAGGGTTGTACTTCTTGTCGAATTCTTTCTTGATAAAAGCAGCTATGTCCTACAAGAAGAGAAGAGATATGTCAATAACAAAGCTTCGAATAAAATAAAGTAAAGATACAGGGCATTGACTTACTTTCTCAATGTTGTATTTTTCCAGTGCCTGGGTAGCACAGTCAACTGCATCTTGTTGCATCTCCTCTGACATATCAGCATTCTTAACAACTGCCTTGCGGTCCGACATGGTGCTGCAACAAAATGAGGTACTCATGAGGAAATGCCCATTCTGTAGTTCACACATTCACGGAAACATCTTACAAAGGTTCTGAACAAATAAAGGAGCGACTCATTATCCCTAAGAAAGTACGCAACTTGAGTTTGTCAACGGAGCTCCATTATATACTTGGAAAACGGAAGCTATTATACCCTGCCGCAAGCCCACAGAAGGAACGGAAGTAGGTTGACAGGAGAGAAGTAAGAAATGAAAAATACCCACCTAGTGTCCCTTGAAACCCTTACAACAGCAACAGCATCCAACTCTCTCATGGTTCCCTCACCAGCCTGCCCCAGACCTAACCTGCACCTAACTACATGTCCCCCCTCCCTCACTTTTGGTGGCTCGTCACTGCGACATCGATGCGACCGCTGGAGACAAGGGTAGGGGCCTAACGAGCGACTCCACCTGTGTGGTGCACGGGGCCCGGTGTGTCCTGAGAGCTGAGAGGGAGCAGGCCCTGCAGGCGCGCGCGCCCCGGTGTGCGGGGGCCAGGGCCCCTGGCCCGCCCCCAGCCAGGCCAGGTCGCGCGGCGGCCTCAGGCCCCCGGACCCCCCCGGGCCCCACCCTGCCGGAGGGAGCCCCTCCGCTACCACAACACTAATGCTCTAGAAAGAAGGACCTTCTCTAACCCTGGACGCTAGACCAGTCGGGATTTTGAGACCATTTCAGACAGCAGAGTAGAGCAGAAGCCAGGGCCCCCGTCCACCAGACCTCAACGGGCCTTACTCCCACACAGAGGTCACACACCTGGGCCGATTGAGCCCAGTCGGAGCCTGACACAGAGACGGTAGAAAGTCAGGACACTAATAGATCTGATCAAGTTGAAATTGTCGCCCTGAATCCCATAACCTTCAGGGTGTCTGTCAAAAGGAACCGACTCGAGCATCGAGGGTCTTGCCTGACCCCAGGTCCCCCAACTCAAAATCGTATTTTCGACGTATTCCCGAAGAGATTCCACTTTCCCTTACCTGGATTGGTGAGTTTGTGGTTGGAGGTGACAAGAAAACTACCCTCGGCACACTGCACGCGCAAAAGTCTACTTAATTTCGTCCGTCAACTACGGAGCACTAGAGTGATCGGCACTTCTTATTTACTTGGCGGCCTGTTGTCAACTTCCCACTACCTCGCCTCCCATTGGCCGCGCGGTAGAGTCTTCTGCCAGGGTCCTCTATCGCCCCACAATGCACCGCGCGAGCCCCCCGGCGCGCGCCCGCCTCTCGTTCAAAAGGAGCGCTCTTCGGCTCTTCTGCGCAGGCTGCGGGCTGAGCGGGCCGGCGCATGCGCGGGCCCAAGTGAAGAGAAGGGGCCGGGAGAGAGGGATCGAGTGCGAGAGAGAGAGGAGGGG